TAATGGATTTAATTGAGCATGAAACTTCAAATAAAAGTGCATTTGATCAACACTATAGTGCAAATTAACAAAATTAATTCATTGAAGAAGGATTTGATTTCAAAAAAAGGAATATTAATCTTGAATATTAATGCACAAATTTAAAATTAAAAAAGCTTTTAAGAACTTATGTTTTTAATTGTATAAACGAACTTAATTATTATGATATAAATGAGTTTCCTAATTTTAAGGATGACTCTCACAATAGCACTGCACGTGCAATCTTTTTTCATATTGTTTGACATTAATGCCCCTTTGAATTAATGCTATGGAGACTTTCCTTTTGAACAAATCAATATGACCGAAAATACAATTTTGATTTGCTTTATTAGTGTCCATTGGATGAAAGATATCAATGGCTAGATATCATTCTTTTTTCTCTGCTAAGACTTCTTTCTCACAGGAACCATCCCCTATATATATATATATATATATATATATATATATATATATATATATATATATATATATATATATATATATATATATATATATATATATATATATATATATATATATATATATATATGTGTGAAGGTTTTCTCTCTCTAAAGGCTCTGGCGACTACGTATGATTGCTAATTCAGCGGTGGCGGCGCAGCCGCCGGGGGGTGGTACGGCTTGGAATGGCAAATCCTTTGCAGATGTTGTTGCAAATAAGGATGTTTCTCCACCGATGGCAGAACCAGTTCGATCAAAATTTAAAGGTTTACCATATATTCAATTTTCGGTGGACTGTGTTAAGTTGTTGGCAGATAAACATAAGCGTGCTTTGATCGGTTATTTTTTCAAGGGTAAGCCTAATCTGATGGTTTTGAGGAAATCATTTGAGATAATTGGCTTCAAAGGGAGTTTTCATTTGGGTGTTCTTGATCCCAAACATGTTCTAATTAGATTTGATTTAGAAGAAGATTTCATAAGGTGTTGGAATAGACAATCATGGTCTATTGAGGGCAATATTATGAGGGTTACAAGGTGGACTCTGGATTTTAAACCTAATGTGGAGTCATCCATTTTTCCGGTTTGGCTTGCGCTTGAAGGTCTCCCTATGCACTTGCAAGACAAACATGCTTTATTTCATATTGCGAGTTTGGTTGGTAGGCCGTTGAAACTTGATTCAGCCACTGCAACCCTTTCTAGGCCAGCAGTAGCAAGAATTTGCGTAGAGCTGGATCTTATGAAGGAAATGCCTAATAAATTCTGGATAGGGTGTGGGAATTCTGGATTTGCACAATCCATTGTCTATGAAAATAGACCGGAGTACTGTTCTGATTGCTTACATTTAGGCCATTCACATTTGAAATGTCCTAAACGTCAAGGGGCTCATGTGGTCAAAGAGACCTGGGCACCTAAACAAAACATTGTTAAATTCACCAGGAAGGAAAAAGGCAAAGGAAAAATTGCAGAGTCTATTGATTACAATAAACAGTCTACTTCTAAGGTGGTTTTGGAAGAAATTCTCTCTGAGGATGAAGAAGAGTTCCATGATCCTTTAGAGCAGTCTGCTATGATTAAAGATCAGATTAAAGAATTACTCCAAAGTGAAATTCCTGGAGTTCTATCTGCAGATCCTACTGACCTGAATGGGATCAAGGATGACATCCTCATCAATAACAAGAATACTAGGAAGTTCATAATTCACAAGGCATACTTATCTGATGGGGAGCAAGAAACTGAAGTGCATCCTGAAACTTTCTTGGACTCTTGGTCTGATCTTTGTGGGAAGGTCGACAATTTGATGCACAAGATGAAAGGTAATATCACTTCCAAGGAGATTGGTATTGATCACCCTGATATAGAGGTGAATTCTCAGCAGCAAATTCAGTCCATTTCAATTGATGGGCAATCTGATCCAGAGCAAATAGAAGCTGGGGAGACATGTATTCAGGCCCTGCAACCAGATGATAAGAAGGAGAATGAGTTGAGTTTACTGGAGCAAACTCAGTCCATCACAATGGAAGAACAATATGCACAACAACAGGAAAAAGAGATAGATGATGAGGGATTCACTAAAGTCACTAGGAGAACATCTAAAAAGAAAAATCAAGAAGAGAATATGTCAAAGAGGAATACTAGGAGTGTGGCTAAGGGACAGTCCCAACCCTCCACAGTCCAATGAATTGTTTGTTCTGGAATACTAGGGGCTTGGAATCCTCCAGTTCCAGGCTTGGTTCCCTAGTTAGACAATGGAGGCTGAATATTTTATTTATTATTGAACCCATGGTTGATGATAATAAAATTGAAAAATATAAAAAGGAGTTTGGTTTGGATGCAGTTACCTCTTCTGCTATCAACAAAATTTGGATCTATTGGGATCCTTTGGCTGTGACTCTTTCTGACTTTATTTGGCATCCTCAGTATGTTAATTGCAGAATTCAAGGAAGTTCTTTTTCTGGATGGGCAACTGGGATTTATGGCACACATACTCCTGCAATCAGAAAAGAACTGTGGGCCTCTCTGTGTCAGATTTCTTTATCTATTCAGGATGCATGGATTATGGGGGGAGATTTTAATGCAATTGCTAAACACAGTGAACATCTGGGTAATTCTGTTCCATCTATCACAGGTATAAATGACTTCTCAGATTGCATTTCTGCCTGTAATATGATTGATCTACCCTATGAGGGTTCCAAATTTACCTGGTCAGGAAATAGGTCCAATGGGAGGGTTTGGAGAAGACTAGACAGGGTGCTTGTTAACAAATTCTTTTTGGATAAATTTGATAAGATTCAAATAAATATCCTTAACAAGACTCCATCTGATCATGCACATATCCTTGTTCAGTGTTCTAATCTAAGCTTATCTGGGCCTAAAGCTTTTAGATTTCAAAAATTTTGGTTTTCTCATAGCACTTTTTTGGAGGTTGTGAAGACTCAGTGGAATGCGGTTAAAACAGGAGGTGGTATGAGAGGATTTGTTTTAAAACTGCAAAACTTAAAGAAGGAGCTAAAAATTTGGAATAAAGAGGTTATTGGAAATATTTTTGATGATATCAAAAATTGTGAACAAGATGTGCTACTTGCTGAACAAACTTATGAAGAGTTCCCCACCGATGAAAATAGAGAATCTTGGTTTTTTAAGCGGGCTCTTTTAACACAAAAATATAAGTTGGAGAAAAAGTTTTGGAAACAAAGGGCCCACATACATTGGATATCAGAAGGTGATAGCAGCACTCATTTTTATCACTCCTATGTCCAGATTAGAAGACGGAAACAAAGCATTACCTGTATTAAAGGCCAAAATGGGCAGGAATTCACCTCCTTTTCCTCAATTGGTGAAGCTGCTGCCAATTTCTTTTCTGACCTGTATACAGCAAATCATAATGTTCATAATCAGGATCTTTTGTCACATATTCCTTCATTGATTACTCAAGAGGACAATGATTTATTGACTCTTTTACCTAATGCAGAGGAGGTTAAACAGGCTGTGTGGGCTCTTGGTCAGAACAGTGCCTCTGGGCCTGATGGTTTTCATGGTAAATTCTATAGGAAGTGTTGGCCTGTTATTGGGGAAGATGTGGTTAGAGCTGTTCAGGAGTTTTTTAAGGGTTTGCCTATTCCTAAGGCTATTGCAAGCTCTTTAATTATCCTTATTCCTAAATCTGACAGAGCTTCTTCATTTGGAGATTTTAGACCTATTTGCTTATCTAATTTTATATGTAAGGTCTTTACAAAAATTCTGGCAACTAGACTTAAAGGCATTCTTCCTAAGATTATTTCTCCTGAACAAGCTGGATTTATGGCCACCAGGGATATAGCTGATCAAATTCTAATTGCTGAGGAATTGATTCACCATATTGATAAGAAGATCAGGGGTACAAACTTGGTGGTCAAACTTGATATGGCCAAGGCTTTTGATAAAGTCTCTTGGCAGTTTCTTTCAGCTATTCTTCTCAAGTTTGGATTCTCTAATTAATTTACTAATCTGATTATGAACCATCTTAAGGCTATTTTTTGTCAGTTCTTATAAATGGAGCACCTCATGGGTTTTTTTAAGCCTTCAAGGGGGGTCAAGCAGGTGACCCTTTATCTCTTTTTTTATTCATTATTGCCTCAGAGGCCTTTTCTAGGGGACTGAAACACATGTTTGAGATTGGCAGGATTAAACCCTATCAGATGAGAAATTCAGCTTCCCCTATTTCACATTTGGGTTTTGCAGATGATCTTCTAGTTTTTCTTAATGGAGAAGCTAGATCTATTCTCAACTTCAAGAATTTTCTTAGTTCTTATCAAGATGCTTCTGGTTAGGAGGTTAATTTTGATAAAAGCTCTATTATTTGTGGCAAAGCTTCTCCAGCTAGATTGAATAGGATCAAGGATCTTTTGGGTATGAAACTTACTAGTCTGCCTATTAAATATCTTGGGGTAAATCTTCATAAGGGAATTAATAGATTCCAGTTTTGTGGTAATCTGATTAAGCAGTTTGAGAATAAACTCTCCCCTTGGAAGCAAAAAAATCTTTCGCAAGCAGGGAGGCTCATTCTTATCAAACATGTTCTTAATGCTATACCTCTTCATACTTTAGCAGTTGATTGTCTTCCTAAGAAAGTTATTAAGGTGCTTAATAATAAGATGGCTTCATTCTTCTGGGGGTCCACTAGTGAGAAAAATAAATATCATTGGCTTAAGTGGGATAAATTGTGTTATCCTACTATGGAAGGGGGACTGGGTATTAGGTCGCTTTCAGACCTTGAAAAGGCCTTTACCCTTAAGCTTTGGTCGAAATGGAAAACAGGAAACACCCTATGGTCTCAATTCTTCAGAGTTAAATATAATAGGGGAAGGAATATGGTGGCTAAGCTTACTAACTCAGCAATCTGGAGAAGGATTTGTGCCATTGATGAACAAGCTTCTAGTCTTGTATCTACTGATACTTCAGGAGTTCTTACTTGGAATGAAGAGAAAAATGGCCAATTTTCTTTCAAATCTGCATTTGAAGAAGTTAGAGAATTAGCATTCAGTTCTGATATTTATGAGCAAATTTGGAATACTAAACATGAGCTTAAAATGAAGATTCTTCAGTGGAAGATTGTGAAAGGGATTTTCCCTATTACTGACAAATTCAGCAGATTTAGGGAAGTGTTAAATCCTTCAGTTTGTTCTCACTGTAGGAAGGAAAGTGATTCTATGGATCATTTATTCTTTCAATGTGTTATTGCTAAGCAGGTTAACCAAGTAAGGAGCTAAGTGGGGTTGAATGGAATCAAGATTCACATGAACACATTCAGCATGCTGATTCCCCTTCACCACTTCGGTTACCACCCCACTCATCTACTGTAATGCCCCTCTCAGGGTTAAAGGAAACCCTACATAAACTTACTACTTAAAAAAACTGCAATATAACGGCCGTTCGTTTAAGAAATAACCCTGATAAAATCTCAAATATAACTAAAATATTACTCCAAATAAAACTCAATAAAATTTAATTATCATCAGCAAATGTGATAACCACCTGGATCAAGGAATTTACTAAAACTTCAAATCCTCAAATAAAATAAAGTAATAATAATCACTTTTTATAACATCCGAAATACTTAAATAAAATAATAACTAGCTAGAAGCCGCCAAGGTCGTTCCCGTTAAATCATTTTGGCACACGTTCCACTCTCTCATAATCTTCCTAGGCCTTGGCCTTACCTTTAGTATCTGTACATGCGAAGAAAGAAAAATGGTAAGCTTTACACTTAGTAAATCATTATGGATCCACAAAAATATCTGAGAAGTCTATGCTAATTTATCAATAGATAAATTTAGGCTATAAGCATGCACTAAACAAACAACTAACAAATAGATTCTCAAATAAATTCAGAGAGAGATCCCAAAAGAAAATATTTTCTAAAAATAATTTCTCAAAACTACTGGAGAGATCTAAAAATTTCTTTCTCAAAACATCTCTGTAAAACTTTCTGAAAGAGATCTCAAAAACAACTTTCTTTAAAACTTTCTCAAAGGGATCTCATAAACTTTCTGTAAAACTCTTTGTGGCTAATTTTAACTGTGGGCCCATGATATGTACTCAAAGGCGCCAATCCGACAGCTCAGGGGAGCGACCCACTAACATATCAGACTTCTCTGAAACTGATAAACTGATAATTTGAGGGAACTTGTTCCCGAGTACATATCACCTGATCTTTCACTTTAAATATTAGTTCTTTTTATGGTGACGTTTGAATAAAAACATCATTAAAATCTTGAAATAAAGTACTAATAAAATCTTGACTATGCCAGATAATAGCATAACTTAATACAACAATTACAATAACTCATCGAATAATTCACCAAGCTCACATAATAACAAATAGTCTAAAATCATCTACTAAATCAACCAGACTTCTTTCTTTCATTTGGTTGAACAAACATGTACATGTGGTAGTGAACTTACTTGATAGAAGTTGAACTCAAAATACTCAAATAATTGTGGCACCTTGATAACGTCTTCCGGTGAGCTCTTATTTGAAATCTTTAATTAGATATAACAAAATAATTACAAATCTAATGTCTTAAACCATATTAAGCTAATGAAATCTTTGGCTACTGCCACGCAGCCTCTGCGAGTAAAATGACTAGTTGATTCAAGTACTATTGTAGTCGGTTTAATATTGGCTTGTACTGAAGTCAGCAGCAGCCACCAGTCAAAAGTGCCTCAAAACATATTGAATACTATATGTTTCAACGGCAGCAGCCACCAGTCAAAATATTTAGGGCAGAACCAACTTAAGGAAAACAGAAAAGAGGAATTTTGGCTGCTGAAATTTTACAGAATGAGACCTATTTACTGAACACGACTAGAGTCTAATACTGAAATAACATCCCCACAGAGACTTGGAAGGCTCAGTTTTCTTAAAATCAAACTTAAATGTACGGTGGATACACTAAAACTCAAGACTTACGTTTTCTTTGCATTTATCTAGCTTCTATGGATAACTAAAAGAAAACAAATTTTTTAAAATCTGGAAACCTTTATGCAGCAACCCGTTTTTAAAATTAAATTTAAAATAAAATCTTCTACGGTTTTTGGTTTACGAAAGTGTAATTCAAAACTAAGATTTATTGAAGGCTTATTGATTTTAACTAAAATTTACAGGTGACACTTTGAGGAATTGAGATAGTTATCCTTGATGACAAACAGAAGCTGGTTAAACTTTATAGTTTCAAGACCGTAGAATGTAAAGAAAACCCCAACTCCAATAACAATGTTAACCAGAAAAACTAGGAGCAACACACATGAACAAAGAGGAAGCTATTGTCCAATTTAAAACCTCAAACGTAAAGAAGCTAGCTGCCCATGATTTAAAAATAGACGAAACCCAGCCTCCCAAAAGCAATTTGATCGCACTTGAAGAAAATCATAACTATCAAACCCAATTCTAGTAATACGAATTAAAGAATTCTAGAGGCAATCTATTAAGATTAATACCTGAAATCAGATTGCTATCAAGGAAAACAAACTCTCGGTGGTTTGAGATGAAATCAAAAAACCGAATAAGTAGCTTGGTATGGAAGAGGAGAGGATCTTTGAGCATGGCTGGGAACGGACTGCTATGGAGGAATTTTGAGAGCTGCAGCGGCTTAGTACTAGGCTCTTATGAAAGAAAGTGGCGTAACTTCCCTAGGGATTTAGTTTAAAAGAGACTTATTTGGGCTAAGATTGATTAGGGCTCCTAATGTTCTAAAAAAATCCAACTTTAAAAGTATTTTCTATTTCAAAATAAACTGATTAAGCTTTAAAACATTACTAATTTCTTCACTTAAAACTATTAGAGCTTACCGGTCAACGTTACCTGTCAGAACAACACGTGATCAAACAATAAATCACATTACTCATAGAAGAAACTTATTTAATTCCCTAAAATAAATATTAATATTGATTATAATAATAATAAAAAATAATATCAATAATAAAAATGATTAATATAACTAACTCATAAAAATCGGGGTGTTACAACCTCTCCCACCTTATAAAAGTTTCGTCCTCGAAACTTAAACAACGTGGTATAGTCTCACAAAATTTCAATCTAGACTCCTCACTTGGCTTTAGTAAAACTGTAATCACTTTATACCTTTCACAAGGTTACTTCCTTTATTTCTTGAGCATATAACTTAACCGCGAGAAGTTTGTACTGGCTTTTCTTCCTATTACTAGATTGATCAAACTTCTAATATTGGCGAAACACAAAACTACTTCATATAATGACCAAAACAAGGACCAAGAAAACTCACTGTTTAAATCTACTTCTCATGATTTCTCATGGCGCTACAACACAAAAGCACTAGCTCACATCAATCCTTATAAATGAATTAGTTTAACATGTTTGTTTATTAATATGAAAATGAAAGACAATACTAAACTTTAACCTTGTTATAAGAACTTATCCCACATACTACTAAAAATGAAATTCTGAATCACATTCTATAGTTGTGCTTACATGGGTCAACTTGTATTTGAAATTGGAGAATAGAACTCTTTCTGAATTTCATCCTTGATTGTTGACATTCTAGCATTATAATATTTGGAAAAAAAAATGTGTTCCATTCTCTGTCAGTTTTAACAGTTCATCCTCACAATAGGATTATGTAGTGTGGAAGGATGGAGTTATCTCTTTCACCATTTTCTCCCTTCTGTCGAGTTGATGGTTTTAATTATGCTATATTGCCACTTTTTCTTTATTTCTTCTACTACTATCTCACAATCTGTTCTTAATGACCATCACATGGACTCTCTATCTAACCCTAAAAACTGCTAAAATTGCACTATTTTAATGATGTTAAAAATTAGACGGTGTTACAAGTTTGTTGTTGTATCTATGAGAATACTTTAATACTCTCTGCTATCAAGACTGCTCCGCATCGGGAAAAACTTTAATCTAGCTTATGAGAAAATCTTCATCTCAAAAAAATCCACTATAGTTTGACTTAAATATTATATCAAAAGGAATTCTTTTGAACGTCTAAAGTAGATTAACCTACTAAACTTTTTTTAACCACTTAAGCAAGCATCTCAAAAACATCTTTTCATTAAAAGAAAATCTTTCTTACGGTTCTGTACCTCTGGAACCAAAATCTATAACTTCATTGATTAGTGTCCCGAAGTAGTCAGGAAAGTTGAATGAAATTTTAAAATAGATTCTCCATTATACTTTAGAATTTCAGTTTTGAAAAGGACGAATTCTAATGAGCTGAGTACCTATCTTATTTAGTCTTGAAGACAATTTACTAATTGAGGCTAATTGCCTTAATATTTAGAGGAAACTTTCTTGAGGGTAAGTCTTATGTTGATAAGTTATGTTATAAGTTTGAACTAAATCTCCTTGGACTCCCTTTAGAAAATCAGTATGTGGGTTAACAATTAAATTTTAACACTATAAGGATTATTTTGCTTAGTTTCAAATTTTCATATTTCTTAAATGAACGACGTTATAATTGTTCTGTTTAACAAAATTTGACGTTGTCAAACACATAAATATCTGACACAAAAAAAATACCTGACAACATAAATTATAATCTCTTAGCTTCCTCATTCAGCTATATAAAGATTAAGGAAAGTACTATATTTTTTCCCCTCTCTCAATTAAACCCTTCATCCCTTCACTGATCAAAATGTGATATATTCAAACATGTAGTCTAAACGAGACAAAAAAATTAGTTTAATCGTAAACTTCCTTTAGACCGTTCATTATCAATAGTTATTTCTTAACTGATATTCCTCGTTATTGTTCCTTCTAACTTTAATCTTGTAACTATATAACTTAGGAAGTATTGCTCATTGATAGCAATAAAGTTTACGTTGCCTTCCAAACAATAAGGAAGTCAAATAGTAAGTAACACATAACTCCACAAAAAACTGACAAATGATTACCCGTTAAATCATCTGGTAATAAACTGTACAGGGACGTATCTAAGACTAACTTAGACTCAACAAAGAAAATTTTCCGCAATAAAATTATATTCAGAGTCCTCCTTTTTTTTACACAGTCTCTTTATTATTATGCTCTTAGATTTCAATTGCAATAATAATCAACTGATCAGGGAATCTACACTGATATCATTCAAAAGAAAATCTAACATCATCGACATGTCCTTCTTACTAGTTTTGTATATTCTTAACTTTGACTGACACTATTTTACTCAATAGAAGAATCACATTATCTAATTTACTCAACTGTTGGGGTTCAAGCCCTTGAATTGCTGATGACTTATAACAGAAGAATAGTTTGTCGTGCCAAACTCATTATACTCTTTATTCCTACTGAGACTTCTACTATTCAAAGAGCATACCACTTCCCAACACGAGCTCATAGGCTGCTGTCTACGTATACTCGTACGTAAATGCTAAAAAGGACTTATTCGTACCATATCCTATATTATGTTGAAAGTCTCGTTCTCTAGATCTTATTGTATTGAAACACACTTGACAATCCTTATATTGTGTACAAGAGGTCATAACACTCATGGTTTACCAAGGAGTGGTTTAATCCAATCCTTCCACGGATCTCTTCTAATCTAACTTTTAGAACCAGATACTATTAAAAACTTTTGTGTGAGATATGTCCAGATACAACAGACGAATATTCTAAGAATATTGATAAGAATTTAAACAGTAGAAGAGAAATTCAACATCAACTTATACCGTGTATTAATAATGATGA